TTTATGACAACAAATGAAAGAATGCCAAATTGACACAACACATTTAACACTTGACAGTGACAGTGACACTAATGTAGGCCCAACCAAAACAAGCAACATCAAAATAAAGTAAAAAAAAACAAGGTATTATGGAAACTAATAAAATAAAATAAAATGGAAATGAGGGCATTAAACATTCCAGAGAAAAATCATTACCCAGTTAGATTAATGAACTGAATAAAATGATACCCAAACAGTATGATAACATGGTAATGATGAAAACAGCAATGATAAAAACGTAGTATAACCATAATGAACTACAATACTACAATACTACAATGAAATGACATAAATACAATGAGAAACAACTATGAATGCAATTAAGAAATCAACAGGTATGTACTAAATGGTAATAATGATAATTTGAAGATGACACAGACAAAATACAGTACGTACAGTTCTTATAGTTACTTCTTCGCCCGTTTCAGTTTGCTGGCCGCACCGACATCAGCCGCCGCCGAAGATTCACCCGCTGACTTCGGATACTTCCTTAATAGGACCTCAAGTTCTTCCTCCGAGGTTATCTTATGTCGGCTACCATCAGACGATTTTACATGGATAACACCGTCCTGGGTCCAAACAATCCTCATCCCGAAGTGTTGTCGGGCTCTCCCAAAGATAGCCTGCCTCGTCCTAGTCAGGAACTCCCTGACCGACACCGAGGTACCCCGCAAGCGAGTCTTTGCCCTCCACACAGACGTCTTAGCTTCTAAGGTGCTGAACCTAACAAGAATAGGCCGATGATGGTCCTTACTTGCAGTACCGATCCTTAGACAAGTAGCAATAGAAGTGGGCTCAACCTTCAGTGCCAGCTTGTTTTGAAGAACATCCAGTACTAGCTTGGAAGCATCCTCATTATCTGTCTCAGGGAGCCCCTGAAACAAAAGTGACTTACGGCGGTGCTTAGTTTGGATGTGATCGATTTGCTTGGAGTTGTCACTTATCTGGATGCGAAGCAGTCGAAGTATGCCTAAGATTAGCTCACGGAATGTGCGTAACTCTTCCGCCACCTTCACAACAGTGTCCTTACATGACCCCGCACTCAGGAGTGCGGGGTCATGTTGACAGTTCAGGAACTGTGCCCCCAATGCTGCCATCTGCCTGGTGACGCTACTCTGAACTGTGTTTAGTACAGATAGTACCTCTCTATCATCAGCCATAGCTTCAGTGTTATCTAGTGTTGTCCAGTGAAACAAACAGTGCCCCGTGGTTTAGTGCAGTCGATGTGACCGGCAGGCGGTTGTGCAACTTGAATATGGAGTTACATAAATCCTCACAAACGTTGGTGGTACTTTTGCAATACTTTATCATCAGAATTAAAATTAATTTGAATTGAATAAATGAATATTTATATTTTTAATAAAAATTTGTCAGAACTAATTGAATGTTACTTATTCACACCTACCCGCGACCTACGCACTACATTTTATATGGTGTTTAAAATCTATCTAAAGGAAACAAATCTATCGACTGATTTGACAGCACATTTGGTGCGGTGGCTGGACAACCGGCTGCCGCGCAACGGAGTCTTGGGGCGTTTCGCACCACGAGTTATTCGAACCGCGGTCCGAATCGCCCAAGTACTATTTTTGAATAGGTCGATTCACACCACAGTGGTTGCAGCGGTGCGAATAGCCCAAGGTATCTTTTGGAATGGGTCGATTCGGAACACTGAGCGAAAGTACTTAATAATCATATCGCGTATCTTGATTTCAACTCATAGAAATAATTAAAGATTTCTAATCATTTGGACAGACGATTAGAAAAGTGGTAAGTGTAAAAAATATGCGATTTAAAAATCATGTTTAATATACAGTCAGTTTCATCAACTACATCTCTTCTGTCTGACTACACCTATCCAAAATTAGAAATGTGTTTTCCCTATACTGTGGTCCGAATCAACCCATTACCAAAAGTTCTTGGGTGATTCGAACCGCGGTGCGAAAGGACACATTCAAAAAGAGCTTTTGGGCGATTCATACCGCGGTTCGAACCGGTCACGATGCGAAACGACTGTATACCCGTGCAACGTGTGGCGGGTTCCGATTCCCGCACGGAACAACTCTTTGTGTGATCCACAAATTGTTTGTAAACGCACCCACGACACAGGAGAAAATCTTTAAGTGGAGCAACGTTAATTTTAAAAATAAATTGGTCTTTGAAGGTTGAAGTTAAATCGGGACCTACTCGAGACAAATCTAGACGCGGACGAAGCCAAAGCTCACACACCAGTCCATAGATAACTGAATAAAACACTGTTTATCATAATATACAGGTCATATTACGTTCATTTATATTCAGGATTACTCCATACTCCATAATTCCATATTATTGGCCATGAAAAAGAATAAAAAACAATTCCAGACTTCGAACTATTGAAAAAAGATTTCGCAATCAAAATATTGCGACTGGAGTCAAAGAATTTTAAGCGTTGCATGTCACGCCAAAGCCAATACTTTCAAGGTTTTTTTTAAATAAATATATCCTATATCAACATAACATCACGCCTTTTATCCCCGAAGTGATAAGCAGAGGTGCACATTACGGCATTTAATGCTACTGTACCGTGTAACAACCACTTTTCACTATTTATGTTATGAGTCCCGTGTAATAGGGGTGAGCCTATTCCCATGTACCGGGCACAAATCCAGACTCCGTGCTACCACTGAGAATTTTTTTAAAACCCAGTAATACTTTTCCCGACCGAATCGAATCCGAGACCCCTTGCCCGGCAGTCGCACTTGAGACCACTCGGTCAACGAGGCAGTCTAGCCTAGATAATAGATATCAACTGTTCTTTAACCCGTTGAGTACCGTCACTATAAACACAAATAAAGAACAATAGGTTGCGGTCACCGGTGTCCTCGCGATGTTTGACAGTTTAAAAAGTTTACTTTACGAGTTACGTGCAGTCAGATCAACTATTTAGTATGCAGGTAAGAAAATAGACATTGATTCAGTATAGAGACAGTAGCCATTGTTTGGCTACTTACTAATCCGATCAATGGTAACAGAAGATATGGCGAGGTAAAAACAATCAATCAACAAACAGCATAAGTGGCCACTGCTTTTTATGGTATAGGAGGCAAACGAGCAGTCGGATAACCAGGAGGCTTACACTTGAATCCAATTCCGATCGATCGACATTGGTATTGTGAAATTTCGTACTCTCCGGATGCAACACTAGCGCCCATTGCATCCGTATTGCGTGGATATTTAATGAACCAAATGGTATTGAGTTAGCCTTTTATTCCGTACTCTGAATGCTATTTCAACAGCTACGAAAGGGGTTGTACAGTTTTGACATTAAACTGTCAAACACCAAGCGGTCACCGGTGACCGCAACCTATTGTTCTATAATTGTGTCTACAAAACCGGTACTCGACGAGTTAAATAATTCCTTTCAAAAATACTACTATCGAACCAAATGGTATTGAGTTAGCCTTTTATTCCGTACTCTGAATGCTATTTCAACAGCTACGAAAGGGGTTGTACAGTTTTGACATTAAACTGTCAAACACCAAGCGGTCACCGGTGACCGCAACCTATTGTTCTATAATTGTGTCTACAAAACCGGTACTCGACGAGTTAAATAATTATTGAGATTTTATTGGATTAAAATTGTATTGACATTGAGATTGGTTTCAAGAGTAAGCCTACTGATGGTAAGCGATCAGCGCCGCCTATGCACCCTCGCAACACCAGAGGCTTTTATCACACACAATTAATCACCACGCTTGCTCAATGCAGGTTGACAATTTGAAACTTATAATTAGAAATTATAAGCCGAGGTTTCCTTAGAAAGTACATATAACTCGGAAAATGTGACATTGCGGTTGGTAGGTTTCGAACTCGTGTGCTTCATGTATGAAAACCGCGCGTCTTAATCATCCGGGCCACCACAAAACTATATAATTTAGTATAATAATTGTTACGATACAAAGTCGATTCTTATTTTCTTACTTGCATAGTAGTGCTGATTCTAGGTACGTTTTATTTGGATAAAAACAATAAAAATTGTTGTTTATGGCAGCAAGCAGTCAGCTCCGCCTATGGACATGGCAACACCAGACCGGTTTGAAGTGCGTTACCGGTTTTAAATGGGAGGGGAGGGGGATTAAGTCTTTTGTATCCTCCCACGGCGAGACATAGCAAGTATATGTAAATAAACAACCTTTAGATATGGCAACTGTTTTTGAAAATTATACAGGTAATTTCCCCATTATGTAGACTTGACTGTTTAAAAGATGTAGGGAATTCCCCTATAGTGTTTCTATTTTATTTATTGGCAACATTTTAAACTGGCTTTATCCTTCCACAGATAATAATCTCATTTTTCCTATTACACGTTTAATTTTTCTTTCTCTGGGTTTTGGGTGCGATTCCTGGGTCGGGGAAAGTATTACCAGTGTTTTTTTGATGATTATGATGATATGGCAATAGGCTCACCCGCTATTACATGGGACTCATAACATAAATAGTGAAAAGTGGGTGTTACATTGGACAGTGACATTAAGTGCCGTTATATGCACCTCGGCACCCCTTCAGGGATAAAAAGGCATGATGTTAAATTATATTTAAGTTTATAGAGTACTTCAATTTTGACCACGGAGGTGAAGCTGTGGACGATTAAGTGGGTTACCGGTGCTCCGGTTCAAACTAGTGCCTTTAGCCAAACGCCACTTTAGCGCTTGTCTACAGAGAGAGTAGAAAACTAAATGTCACTGACAAGTGTCAAAATTTACGTCAATCCCTTATAATTTGGTTTTCTATTCTACAAGTAGACAAGTGCTAAAGGGCATTTGGCTACAGCTGCAGGAGTTGGAACTGGGTGATTTTTAGTCAGTAAGAGACTGACATTCGCTCTCAGCTCACCCAAGGCGGCAGAAGTCATCTGATGATTTTCCCCCTCAAAGACAAGACCTGGTAGATGTCAGAAGTTATAAAATTTAAATTCTTACCTTGCTATAGCTCTCATCCTGTGGAGGGTATGGTGCAGCTACTGGTCCATATCCACCTTTATTGTGCCTAATCGGAGCCCTCGACAAATGTACAGTTTGCAATCTCTTCTCCTTCTTCTTTTTACTCTCGTCAATACCAAGTTTCTCCAAATCTTCAGCCAATTCGTCAGCTTCATTGGTCTCATTTTTGACCTCTTTTTCAAACTTTTCCACTGTTTCCTGGTCTTTATTGTCTGAGAAGCCACTGTCTTCTGAGGAATGTGAGTGGATTCTCTCATTTCTTGGTTCTTCTATTACTTTGAATGTGAAGTTGTCCAGTTCATCCTCTTCTTCGGCTGGTTTGTCTACTTTTTCTTCTTTAACAGGTTTTTTGTCTTCAAGGTTTAGTTTGTCGAAGTTTTCCAGTATTGCGGCCACGATATTTGGTTTTTGGACCGGCTCTGGTTCTTTAGTTTCAACTTTAACTTCTGTGATCTCATGTTTACTCTTCCGTTTGGGTTTTTCTTTCTTTTTCGTAAAGAATGATATGACGAGGGTTTTTAAAGATTTCTTGTTTGTGTTCTCCATTGGAATTGGTTTAGCTTGTGATTCGCGAGCACTTCCCATACTTATTGTTTCTATTTTGTCTTGAATCCGTTTTTACATCTGCAACAATAGAAAAATTCATCTTAATATTTGTTGTAAGGAATTACAAAGGTGTTTATTTAGAAGAGGAATGTTAAATTTGGTATAATTATTATTAATAGTTAAAAAATCCACTACAGCGTTTGTAATTTTGTTAGCGATAAACTTAGAAACTACTGAACGGATTTTCATAAATTTCACAACAGCAAACAGAATAATTATTGAGGAATTTAAGGAGGATTAAATATATTTTGTAAAGGTTGGAGCATCTGGTTGGGGGCGGCTGCTAGCGAAAAGTTAGTAATCTATAAAACAGCGCGTAAAATAGTTTATGGACAGTGAATTTCTATTTAAAGAATTCCGCGTTACTTCAAATTCTTGAGCATTCTTTACATAACTATATACTTTTTCCTCTTCCGCCCACCACTTATGAGAAAAACTTTCCGCAATGGCAACAATGTTCAAGTAATTGTTAGAAAAATACGCATTTTTCTTAAGATTTCTTATGAACTATCGCTTTTAAATTCACTGATTGATGAGTTTTGGCTTTTATCCAATAAATAACATTAGCAGACAATAAATTCTTCATATAGAAATGGTTAAAATTATGAGCTATCCATGTGTACGTGTGTCGCCTAGACAGTCACCGCTACCATCAGTTGACTGGACAATCTCTTTACATGAGCTGCTGTTTACATGTGAACATAAGCTCATAGCGATACCTAAGTACGTGTGTCGCCTGGACAGTCACCGCGACCATCAGTTGACTGGACAATCTCTTTACATGAGCTGCTGTTTACATGTGAACATTATTAGGTACAAATCTATCCAGAATGAAAATCTTAGCAAACATCTCTTATGTAGAGGATGCTCACAGTCCAGCAGTGGCTGTTGATTATGTGATGATAAACGATACAAGTGAAAGATGTCTACTAAGATAATGTTGTAATGTTTATCGTTCTTTCTCAGATTCTGTTAACCTTGATACAGATTTCTGACCTGTTTACAAGTTTATGCGATGCCGGGGTTATTTTGAACTTAATGTTTTGCATTGACGTAACAAACTGATATACATACATCAGTAGCGATGTGATTAGTCTTTTTTTTAGCGGGGAACATCTTCCTATCACTTCTCTCGCCCGGGTGTGGCGGGAGGGAGTGTCAGACTCTTACTGACTAAAAACCACCCCGTTCCTACTCCTGCACTTTGAGCCGGAGCCCCGGCTATCCGTTAGACCTTATTGGACCCCATCTGTAAAGTAGCGATAAGTCTGAGGCTTCGTTTCACTCATTGTCGACATGATCCCATGGATCATTACTATGTAATATTATAAATGGGAAAGTGAGTTTGTTTGTTTGTTCCGCTTTCACGCCATAACTACTAAACCGATTGCTTTGAATTTTTGCAGACGTAAAGTTAGAAGTCTGGATTAAATAATAGGGTACTTTTTATCCCGGAAAAATTGATATTCTCGAGGAAAAACGAAATCATTGGTATAGATGGCGCTGTGTGTATATGTCACATAGGCTACTTTTTATCCTTTTGTGACGCGAACGAAGCCGCGGGTAAAAGCTAGTACTACATAATTGTCTTTTTATGAACATACAAATCTAATTATAAACCTAATGATATTAATCTATTGTTTGTTATTGTAACTCAAGAATATGTTGTTGAGTTACAATTTGGGTGAAAATTGGCGGTGAGGTAGCTTAGAACCGGGAGCCGGATATAGAATACTTTTTATCCAAGAATTTCCCGAAAGTCCTGCGAGAACGGGAATAAACAGGATTATGCGTAAGTCGCGGTAGTAACATATAAATCTGAAGTTTATTTGTTTGAACACGTTTATCTCAGGAACTGCTGGTCTGATTTGAATAATTCTTCTTGTGTTCGGTAGTGCATTTATCGTGAAAGCCTATTGGATATAAAATATCACTCTATGAATAACAGGAACCGAGGAGGTGTAGCATTAGATTGAGGGCAAAGCTGTCAGAAGCTAATTTAACATACATTTTGGATTTTTTTTTATTTAATATAACGTTACGCATTTTGACGGATCACCTGATTTAAATACCGTATTATTTGATTTGATTTCATGTCAATTTTCATTTGTTTATCAAAGTTTGTGTGTCAAAACTAACACTTGAAATGTCAATGACCCTCTGACCTTCTTGATGTAGAATTTATTATTTTTTGGAATGAAACTTTTGAACCTTTTTTTATTGGTCACACTTTTGGGACAGATTAAAAATATCAAACTCAATACAAATTATGTTTTTCAACCGTTTTCCCCTAAAACAGGTTTACAGTTAGATTGATTCCATTTGGCACAGCAAATTTTTGATGTTTGGAAATCCCATATTATACATCTGATGGTATACAGAAACTACAGAGCGCCACCTACTACGCTCCTTACATACTTCTTTAGCTTACATCACATTCATACATCTGATGGTATACAGAAACTACAGAGCGCCACCTACTCCGCTCTTTACATACTTCTCTAGCTTACATCACATTCATACATCTGATGGTATACAGAAACTACAGAGCGCCACCTACTACGCTCCTTACATACTTCTTTAGCTTCCATCACATTCCGCTATCTCGCCTGGTGGTAAGCGTTGATGCAGCGTGTCGTGAAGCATGCTTACGTAAGCAACCTATTCGCTCAACACTTAAGTGGCAAAAATATATAAGTGTGGGAGAGCCATGCTTCGGCACGAATGGGCCGGCTCGACCGGAGTGATACCACGGCCGAGCAGAAAACAGACGTGAAACAACGATTGCGTTGTGTTTCGTCGCGTGAGTGAGGTTACCGGAGGTCCTATTACTAAATCCCCAACGATCCTCAAACTCCTAATCCCCAAAAGGCCGGTAACGCACTTGTAACGCCTCTGGTGTTTCAGGTGTCCATGCGCGACGTCGATTGCTTACCATCAGGTGATCCGTCTGCTCGTTTACCGACTTATGCCATGAAAAATATATGTCTGCATACCATTTTATTGCAAATAGAAAAGGAAGTGGCGTTATCATTATATCAGACACCTTCCTTATCATCAAATTACGCCGTAGCGATAGATAATATTATATCTGTATATTACATATATCAACCACAATAAAAGCTAAAGTATTTGATTGTCTGTTTGTAGAGGTATGTATGCTCTTATCTATACCTCCTCTACATGGATTTGTCGCAGTTACCACGCTCAGCAAGCAGGTTGGATATGTCAGAGTGAAAGATTCAATGTTTATCGAAGAGCGCTGCTGCCGCTCTGTCAAATGTGGAGTCCCTTAGTGGGGTATAAGACATCCGCGGAGAGCAGGTATGGTAACAAATACCTACTTGGATGAAGGAAACGAACAAACAGGAACAAACTGTGATGGAAAACATCGTGAGGAAACCTGGGCTTATAATTTCTAATTATAAGTTTGAAATTGTCAACTCGAATTGAGTTTTTTGACTGCTCCCGCCTGGGCGAGGCGGGAGGGAGTGTCAGACTCTTACTGACTAAAAACCACCCCGTTCCTTCTCCTACGCGTCGAGCCGGAACCCCGGTTACCCGTTAGGTTCTCCGCGACATTGAGTAAGTGTAGTGATTAATGCTCAAACTTTCGAGTGAGAAGAGGCTTTGCTCAGCAGTGAGCATTTATAGGCTGTTGATGTGATGTTTGTGAAGTTTGTTGGCCACTTCACCATCATCATCATCGTCAACCACAGCTGGACGTCCACTGCTGGACAAAGACCTCCCCCTTAGTCCTCCACGTCGAACGACCACTCGCCAACTCGCCCCCTACATCCACTGGCTTCCGCAACTTTTTTTATACTTAATAGGTCGACGTTCGGTCACCATCTCGCCTGGTGGTACACAAAGATGTAGCCGACGATGGAGCACGCCTATCTATGAGCGACTCTGGCGACCTCGTCGGTCCACCTAGCCGTTGGTCTTTTCAGTGATGTAATAAAAGTCGGGTTAAAAAATAGTATGTTTCTACAGATATCTGTGACGTATGCATATTATCAATGTATGTTATGACTAGCTGGTATACAACTAAGCATATAAGCTCTTGCGATTAGACAAAGAAAGATACGTAATATTCGCTTTGTGTTAGATATAAATTATTGCCTTACAAGGTGCAATGGGCAGTTTATATCGCTATATGGCTATTTTTGCTAGTACTTAGGTACAAAAGCAAGTTAAGATGTCTCGCGCGCGCCTCAAAGAGCCGTCAGGGTGCTTACTCTTGAAACCAATCTCAATGTCAATTCAATTTCAATCCAATAAAACCTCAATAATTATTCAATGTCAAAACTATACAACCGCAATCGTAGCTATTAAAATATCATTCAGAGTACGGAATATAAAGCCAAACTCGATACTATTTAGTTCATTCAATATCCACGCAATACGGATGCAATGGGCGCTAGTGTTACAACTCAAATGTACGAAATTTCACAATACCAATGACGATCGATCGGAATTGGATTCAAGAGTAAGCCCCCTAGACCACAACGGATGGGGCCCAATAGGGCTGATGCCGATACGGAGCCGCGGAGGACTTAATGGTTTGCTATATTATTCTTATATATGCTGTATATTGGGTTAACGGTTGCCCTATTACATGGGAATCATAACATAAATAGTGAAAAGTAGGTGTTTCATTGTACAGAGGCATAACCACTTGAATGCACCGATTTGAGACACAATAGAATATACAGTGTGTCTCGCGTGGATCCACGTTTAGACAAACGACGGGATAAGTGCCGTAATGTACACCTCTGCCTACTCCTTCGGGGATAAAAGGCGTGATGTTATGTTATGTTATAAAACATCAACAAATATAAAATAAATTATAGTCTGTCAGTCTGTCCGTCAGTGAAGATAGGTGCTCGTTCCAAAATGCAGATTCGAGTGAAGAAGAACGAAAAAGACACTCATTTTTGCAGCCATTAACGTTTCGTAAGTACCAAATTATGGTTTAATTTAAATAAATGCTTTTGAGTTTGAGTTGAAAATGA